TGTTTGCTCTGGGAGTTACCAGCCCCTTTATCTGGTTTTTGGTTGTAGAGTGAGACCCTGGACTTATTCAGCAAATGTGTTTCCATCTCCGCTTTTGTGCATTAACTAGTTTTTTTTTTTGAAAATCCACAAACCACGTCAAACGAGCGTATAAATGTTTTTGCTAAATTGAGAAAGTTTTTGCAAATTTTACCATTTCCAACAATCTTTTCTAATGCAATTTTTCAAAATGTGCATAAAAAAGGTTGATGGAAACACAGCTATTGTCTCTGAAGTGAAGGAGGAAAAGCAACGATATTTCAAGGAGTAAAAAAATAAAAAATAAAAATAAAAATAAAAACTCTACACCCAGCTTTTTACTGTCAGATAGTGGAGTGCAGTTTGGTGGCTATTACAAAATTAGCTCTTAATGACCTTTTGTAAAGATCACGAGAAAAGCTAATATAAAGTTTATTATTACCAGGTCATCAGACCAGCATCTCGACACTCAGTGTATAAAAAAGCTTTGAATAAACAGAACTGGATTCTTCAATGAGAAAAGAYACATTTCCTGTTTTGACCATGGAGGAGGAGAGTGCTGCCTATCACTTCAGTCAGAGCGCAGACTGAAAATAGTTTTACATCAAATCATTTAGTGATCCATAGGCAGCAGAATCCCAGAACAAGCCACTTCAATCAAGACAGAAATGTTCGAGCAAATGATGATGGTGAACAATGACTGGGTTYGATGGTTGAAGCCTTTAATCTTGGTGTGAGCCACAAAAATACTATCTACACATGCAAATCARCATACACATAAAATCATTTACATGAGTGTATATTTCAAACCAAAACACAGACRGCAAACGTGTCTGGGTTGTTTAACCGTCTTCTTTATGACGTCTTTATCAGTCAAATAAAAACAGCGAGCATCTGGWGGTCTGAACTCATCTAAAAGGAAGCAGCGTCTGTGATCTCCGAGGAGCCTGACTGCGCGTGTAACAATGTGGTTTATATGTCGTTGGAGAAACAGCAGCAACTGAACGGCCTTCTCAGAGTGAGCCACAGCTCRACTTTAAATGCAACACATTCATCACATCGTGTTGACAAGAAATTATGCAGCTTCAGCAGGACATTTAGTGGAAAACAAATAGCAAACAGAAATTATTGCTCCAGAGCTTGTGCTGCTGTTTTTGAAGACAGGTCATTATCTTTTGAGCTACCTTAACTGCACTTTAATTTCCCCCAAAAATTACTCTCATAGGCAAATCTATCATTTACCTTAAATGGCTACAATCAAGCACATAATAACCTGAGCTTTGCTGCTTAGGCCATGCAATTCCCACTTTAAATTTTAAACCCAAGCATGATGTTGCATTACATTAATTTACCAAATATTCTATAGAGCAGAATACAAAGAAAAATTAAAAGTATGTTCATGTGCTTTCCTGTATAACRTTTCATCTAATAAACCATATTACAGAATCATACCTTTTCCTGAATAAAATTTAAAATAACAACATGCGACACTTTGCAAGATGTATTTTTTTTTAGCTCTTAGAGTTAGTAGTAATGCGTGGTAATGGAGGGCTAATGATTTGGTCGTGTTTAGCTGCCACAGGATCAGAACATCCTGCACTCACTGATTTGGCCATGAACCAATTTTTCCACCAAAATAAGCAAGAGTCAAATGTGAGGCAGACTCTTCAACGGCTGAAGAACAACAAGCAAAGATCACAGGAGAATGACTAAAATGGGACTGAGTTTATACTGAAGGTGGTTCAAACCTTTTGGAAATGGGGTTACCTAGTTTTTTTTTCCACAAACTACTTTCAGCTGAATTTTTGTAAAGTTTAGTAGCAGTGTATTATTCAGCCCAGTATATACTGGATTCATACCTGATAGATCCTGGGTAGGTACTTGGTACTTAAAGGGTACCTAAAGGGACTTGACTCTATTATGAAATTACTTGTTACTTTATGGCAGGGGGCTGCCACCTGGGACTCTGGGGTCGCATATGGACCTCTTTAGTCTCTCTTTAGTCTCTCTGAAGTGGCTCTTTAACCAAAGCTAACATGATATTACATTTTTGGGGCTTTTATACTCTCAGTTTTCTTGTTAATTTGTTTGCAAACATTGGTTAGGTCATTCTAACCTGTCAGCCACTTCAAAAGTCCAACTTCCAGCCTTAAAGTATGATCTTTCTCTTAAATCCAGTGTTACCTTTAAAGATCTAAAAGTATCAGAATAAAAAATGGCTGCATAGTTCAGTTGTAGTTTTTATTAAATTTGGTCTGCCTACCCGTCTTGCATACTGATGGTGGTCAGAGGGTCCGGTGGCGCTGGTGCATGGCAGCCCTGCCTCTGTCAGTGTGTCCCAGGGCAGCTGTGGCTGTATCAGTGTGTGAACGGGTGAATGACTGAAGTGCAAAGCGCCTTGGGGTCCAAGTGGACTTGATAAGGCATAATAGCAAATGTTGAAATTCACTATAGTTTAGTTTTATAACTACTACTACTACTACTACTACTATAATGTTACCCCGTGTTGAAAAGGCTCCCCGTTCAGTCAACTTGAAGTAGCCCACGAGCCACCAGTTGATAATCACAGTTGTAGCACTTTTTACAGCACTGGACACGTTTTATCAGTGAACCAAGGAGAGAAAAAGTTATTTTGACTGTAAATGTTACAGACCCCTGTCCTATTGGGTACATACTGGATAGGTACCAGATGAATGGTCTACCTGGTACAAATCTGTCTGTATTACGTATTGTGTATTGACACTAAGTAATATGCTATGTGTTAATGTTTTGTCTTACTTTGTAATTACTTTTTAAAGAAAATTTGTTTTCGCACACTGTTTCTGAAATTAAAAGTATTAAAACTGTTTAAAACACAATGTGACTCATTTTTGAGCTTTAGTTAAAGAACAGCTATTACTTTTTACTTTTTTCCATTCAAAATGTTAGTTCAACCATTCTGAATCAAATATTTGATTATATAAATTGTACTTAAGTAATGAGTAATAAAGTCAGTCAGTCAGTAAGTCAGTAAGTAAGTCAGTAAGTAAGTCAGTAAGTAAGGAACGCCTTTCACAGAAATATAATTCACAATTTGCTGTAAAATGATCAAAAATTTTAGCTCATATCTGCAAAATTCATAANTATTTTTTGAACTCACTGTTTACACTGCAGCAGCTGGTTGAACACTGCTTCATTTCCTGATGCCACAGCTTCATGTAACGGAGTCCTAAAGAGGGTAAAAGACATAACTGAAGCACTACCATGTGTTGCACAGAGGCTCAACATTTAAAGAGTCCGATAAAGCTTGTGTCATGTGACCTACCTGCCTCTGCTGTTCTGCATGTTAGGGTTGGCTCCAGCTTTCAGCAGAGCCTCTGCGATTCGTGCCATGCTGGTCATCACCTCTTCACTGTGCTTCTTGGGGCTGAATGAGCAGACCAAGTGAAGTGGGGTTTCCACTGCTCCTACTGTGGCTGCATTCACCTGAGCCGAGTGGCGAACCAGGAAGATGGAGGCAAATTTATCACCTGTTGGAATAAAGGAAAAGTGTTACAAATTAAGACGTTTTATTTTAACTATCAAGCTGATAATCAATAAAGTGAATACAAATGTGTTTGAGAAATGTAGAGAGTTAATTTTCCAACCAAGTATAATGGAACACACAAAGGTGGACAAAAAGTAAATCATTGACTAGAAGTGAGCATTGTACCGCTAATCAGCTAACAGCTAATAGTGGAGCTAAATTTTCACGTTTCAGATTAGCTCTTTCAATAATTTTGAAACCTGTTACCTTCCTCTAAATTAGGTTTTGCCATCTTAAAAGGGATCCATGATTAGTTGTAACATTAGACTTTATTTAATAAACATTTATTT